TCATAACTAAGGAAGGCAGGGAATACAGGTTTGAATTGGTTTCACCCAGGAAGCCAGATGGGTCTTGGAGCATTTATAAACACTGATCACGTTATAAAAGTATGTTTATGGTTTTGAGCCTAGGTCTCACTATGCAGTCAGGCTGGTTCACAAAGCTATCCACCTGCCTCTGCTTCCTGAGTGCAGGGATCACAGGTACGTGCTGCCATGCCCAGCTTTTTAAATACTTTTAAAAATACCATTTATTTCTGTCTTAGTTAGGATTTCTTTCTTTCTTTCTTTCTTTCTTTCTTTCTTTCTTTCTTTCTTTCTTTCTTTCTTCCTTTCTTTCTTTCTTTTTTAATGTGCATTGGTGTTTCGCCTGTGTGTGTGTGTGTATGTGTATCTTGGAGTTACAGACAGTTGTGAGCTGCCATGTGGGTGCTAGGAATTGAACTGGGATCTTTTGGAAGAGCAGCCAGTGCTCTTAACTGATGAACCATCTTAGTTAGGATTTTTATTGTTGTGATAAAGCAGCATGGCCAAAAGCAACTTGGAGAGGAGTTTATTTCAGTTACACTTACATATCACAGTCCAATCAGGGCAGGAACCTGGAGGCAGGGACTGAAACAGAGGCCATGGAACAAACTATTTAAGGGTTTGTTCCTCCTGGCTTGCTCAGCCTGCTTTTCCACACATCCCAGGGACACCTGCCCAGAGGTGGCCCCACCCTCAGTGGGGCTGGACCCTCCCACATCAGCCACTAATCAAGAAATGTCGTTCAGGCTTGCCTATAGGCCAATCTCATGGGGATAGTTTTCTCAGTTGGGGTTCCCTCTTCTCAGATAACTAACTCTAGCTTGTGTCATTGTGTCAAGTTGACAAGAAACCCAACCAGGACAGCTGGCTTATCAGGTGAAGCACCCGATGCCAAGCCTGATGACGTGTTCAATCCCCGGGGCCTACATGGTGGAAGCAAAGAGCTGACCTCTACAGATGGCTGGCCTCTGTGGCCTCTGCACACCCACTAACACACACAATAAAGAAGAATGGAAAAAGCCTCCAGATGTTAGGTCCTTGGTAGAGGAGGTATAGGCAGAGTGCGCCAGGAGCACAGCTGGGGGAGGTTCAGGATATGGCGGGCGGGTAAGCTGGGGCCTGAGGTGTTCGCCGTGTGAAGATTGGTGCAGGTGGAGGGCGGAGCGTGCCCAGACACCTTGGAGGTGAGGATGAGCAGTAAACGCAGGGAACTGGAGGGAGCCGCCTGTGGTAACCGCTCCGTCCGGTGTCCTCCGTTGTGCGGGTTGTTCCGGATGGTGCTTAGAGGAGCAGTCAGTCAGTCTTGTACCTCCTCAAGTCTTTGCTCCGGCTTCCCTGGCTGCCATGGAAAGTCCCTGTAGACAAGGCAGGCCTGGAACTTGGTAATCCTCTTGTGATTACCTCGTGACTCTGAAGTTAAATGTCACTGTCTTCTCTTACTGACATAAAGCATAATGTCTTTCCCCACACAGATTAAGCACATGATGGCTTTCATCGAACAAGAAGCCAATGAGAAAGCAGAAGAAATAGATGCAAAGGTGAGATTTTTGAATTTTGGTTATCTAAAGGTTCATGCTGTTGGGTTTTCCTCAGCAATATTTATTACTGCTAAAATTGTTTAGTTTCACATCACATCTGGTCAGTGAGAACATATCTTTGTTTTTTTTTTCCCCCCTCAAGATAAGGTTCCTCCATGTAACCCTGGCTGTCCTGGAACTGGCTCTATAGACCAGGCTGGCCTCAAACTCACAAAGGTCCACCTGCCTCTGCCTCCCAAATGCTAGAATTAAGGTGTGCACCACCACCACCCAGCTAAAAAGAAACTTTTAAGAACAGATTTACTTACTGTTTGTGTGTATGTGTATGAGACTGCATGAATTTATATGCACCATGTGCATACAGGTACCCTTGAGGCCAGAGGGTGTTGGGTCCCTTGTAACTGGACTTGGAGGTAGTGGAAAACTATCAGATATGGCTGCTCAGAACTGAGCCCAGGTCCTCTGTAAGGGCAGTGAGTGCCTTTAACAGTTGAGCTGTCTCTCCAGCGCCACTTAAATTTTTTTCCAACTTTATTTTGGGGGGTGGGATGTGTGGAGCTCAGACTTTCTGGAGTTAGTTCTCTCTCTGCCATGTGGATCCTTGGACCTCGGGTCCTCAGGCTTGGTGGCAAACACCTTAACCCTCTGAGCTACTTTGCCGGGGGGGCACATTTCTTTTTTTTTCTTGAGGGCATCAGTCTCCCAGGCTGGCCTCTTAACTCAGCAATGTAGTGAAAAAATGACCTTGAACTCCTGTTCTTCTTGACTCCTATGTCCCAGGTGCTGGGATCATTATGTACTACCTTACCTGTTTTATGGCATGCTGGGATTGAATTGCATGCATGCAAGCACTCTCTACCAAATGAGCTAGGTCTGTTGATAGCATTCATTTTAGAATGTGATAGATAGTTCAGGGGCTGGAGATATGGCTCAGCAGCTGAGAGCATTTACTGCTTGTCCAGAGGACCTGAGTTCGAATCTCAGCACCCGTGTTAGGCAGCTCACAACTGTCTGTAACTCCAGCTCCAGGGGATCCGGATGGATGCTTCTGGCCTCCGTGGGCATTACTACACACCTACACATAATTTAAAATAATAATTTTTAGAAAGAATGTAAAAGTTCAAATACCTGTTCCAACCCTTGAGTAACTAAATCGGTAACTTTCCTAAAGTTATAATTCTTTTGTTCTTATTTTAGACAGGGTCTCATGTACTACAGGCTGACCTTGTATTTCTATGTAGGTGAAGAGGCCTTTAAGTTTAAAAACAATTTTATGAAGGGCAGTGTTGGCACATACCTTTAATTCTAGCACATAAAATGTTTTAATTAAAATAGAAGAAAGTATCTTTGAGGATAAGTGTTAAAATAGATTTTCTGTTTCACATAGGGAATGAGTAAACATATCAAAGTATTCCTAGTTCCTGGATGTTTAAAATAAAATGATCAGCCAAATCCAATGTGCTGAATTAATGTATGTTAATTCTTCATAGGCAGAAGAAGAATTCAACATTGAGAAAGGTCGTCTTGTGCAAACCCAAAGACTGAAGATTATGGAATACTATGAGAAGAAAGAAAAGCAGATTGAACAGCAGAAGAAAATGTAAGGAGGTGATAGTTAATGCACTAAACTAAAGAAGGCATATGTCTGTAGCACAGGTTGGCCTGAGCTAGCTGACCTTCCTGCTTCCACCTCCCCATGAGACTGCAGGTGTGGGCCACCATGTGTGATTTATGCAGTGCTGGAGATCAACTCCAGGGCCTTGTGTTGTCCACACACTCCACCAACCAGCTGAGCCATGCCAGGGCCTTGTGTTGTCCACACACTCCACCAACCAGCTGAGCCATGCCCTTGGCCATTAAGGTTTGAAGGTCAATGAAACAAGGTCATGGGGAGGAGCTCAGTGGGGTACTGCTTGCCTACCCTGTTCAGGGACAAAACTCCATCCCCGAGATCTAGTTTTAATCCAAAAAAAGTTCAAAACTGTGGAGACAAGCCAGAGCAGTTTGAGAGTCCAGTTCTTTATTTTTTCTTTTCCTTTTTTTTCCTCTTCAAGACAGGGTTTTTCTGTGTAGCCTTGGCTTCCCTGAAACTCACTCTGTAGACCAGGCTGGCCTTGAACAGGGAGTCTAGTTCTTCACTTCAGCAAGTTAGTGGAGTTCTGTCACTGAAACAGAAACCTTAGCTGGGGTGGAAGCTAGTGTCTGGAAGTCTGGCAAGGATGAGCAGGGCTACAGCTTCTTTCCAAAGCAAAAGGAGAAAGAGGAGCTGGGCATGTGGTATACACTCCTGTAATCCAGCAGAAGCAGAGGAAGAGCTCTGGGTTCCAGGCCAGCCGAGCTACACAGTGAGACCTTGTCTCAAAAAACAAGAAGGGTGAAAGGCCATGGAAACCCACAGGGTTACTGACAGGTGACTGACTTACTGTTTATCCAGCATCCTTTGCTCTTACGTGGGAAGTTGTGTGTTTTTCTGTGGTCATTGTTTTTGATACTCTCCCATCCCTTTTGTAGTCAAATGTCCAATCTGATGAATCAAGCCAGACTCAAAGTCCTCAGAGCAAGAGATGACCTCATCACTGTGAGTATTTAGCTCTAGTGGTTATGGAACTGTGAAATGCCCATTCACTTTCTCATGATAATCACTAATTAACATTTAGAAAATAATGGGTTTTGTGTTTGGTTGGGTTGGTTTTTGTTGGTTTGCTTTGTTGATAGTGTGTCTGATCCTCCAGTCTGTCTTTTTGTTTGTTTTGTTTTTCAAGGCAGGGTTTCTCTGTGAAACGGTCCTGGCTGTCCTGGAACTCATTCTGTAGACCAGGCTGGCCCTGAACTCACAGAGATCCGCCTGCCTCTGCCTCCCAAGTGCTGGGATTAAAGGAATGCCCCACCACTACCCAACCAGTCTGAGTCTCCTGAGTGCAGAGTTACAAGCATGCACCACCACGCTCAGGTTTATGAGCATTTTTTTGGATAGAAAAACATTTGTTTAGCAAATTATTATACTAGATACTAATAATAAATGCGGGCATGATAAGTCTGGCCTTGAGTTTGGTGACCCTTTAAGCTGATGGCATACAAGACAGTCTTAGATCATACAGCAGCAAGAAACAAACCATGAGTGCATGAAGAAGGGGCCGAATATAGGGCCACGAAGAGCCACACCTCCTTTCAATTTAGAAAAAAAAATTGTTTTAGCCAGGCTATGGAGGTAGGAACCTTTAATCCCAGCAATAGAAGGCAAAGGCCGGAGGACTCTGAGTTTGAGGCCAGCCTGATCTACAGTGAGTTTCAGAACAGATAGGACTATACAGAGAAATCCTGTCTCAAAACAAAAAAATGAGGGTTTTTGTTGTTGTTGTTGTTGTTGTTGTTTTATTTAGAGGGCAGTATCATAAAAAGTATACATAGTATGAGACAGTATGGGCTCCATTTAACAGGAAAACAGCATCGTCATTCAGAAAGAATTGTGGCCTTTTGGAGAAGAAAACCTATAGAGGTGGACCACTTAGTTCAGAAGGAATGAGTTCTTGAATTGTGTTTAGAGACTGAAAGGTGCCAGGTGGGTCACTGTTTGCTCTGGAGGCACAAGCTTCCTTATAAAATGGAAAAATAAATAAGAGTTCCATGGCTAGGCACAGTGACTCCACCTGTAACACCAGCACTCAGTAGGTGGAGGCAGGAGGATTGCCTGAGTTAAGGCCAGCCTGGGTTATAGTAACCCTGTGTCACACACACAGCCAGCTGGTCTTGATGGTGCAGATCACAGGGAGTTTGAGGCCAGCTTGGGCTACAGAGTTAAGATCCTGTCTCTAAAAAAGAAAAATTAATTTTTTCATGCATTATTCTCATGGATTTTTTTATTTATTTTATGAATGTGAGTGCTCTATCGATTTCATGCCACAAGAGGGCATCAGATCCCACTATAGATGGTTGTGAACCACCATGCGGTTGCTGGGAATTGAACTCAGGATCTCTGGAAGAGCAGCCAGTGCTCTTAACCGCTGAGCCATCTCTCCAGCCTATGAATTTTTTAAATTCATTGCTTGCATGTATGTCTGTGTATCATGAGTATGCCTGAAACCCTTGGAGCCCAGAAGATGGTGTCAGCCTCCCTAGAACTGGATCTACAGACAATTGGGAGCCACCATTGTGGGTACTGGGAATCAAACTCTGCAAAAATAGCCAGTGCCCTTAACTGCCAAGCCAATCTCCAGCCTCTTCCTCTGTGTGTGTGTGTGTGTGTGTGTGTGTGTGTGTGTGTGTGTGTGTACACATGTGTGTGTGTGTGTACACTTCCGATAATAGTTTGATGTCAGATTTGACCCAGAAAACTTCTTAAAGTTCTTTGTAAAAAAAAAATTTTCCTGGGCAGTGGTGGTGCATGCCTTTAATCCCAGCACTCGGGAGACAGAACCAGGCAGATCTCTGTGAATTTGAGGCCAGCCTGGGCTACCAAGTGAGCCCCAGGAAAGGTACAAAGCTACACAGAGAAACCCTGTCTCGAAAAACAAAACAAAACAAAATTAAGCCAGGTAGTGGCTTTAATCCCAGCACTCAGGAGGCAGAGGCAGGTGGATCTGAGTTCGAGGTCAGCCTGGTCTACATAGTGAGTTCCAGGATAGCCAGGGCTATACGGAGAAACTCTGTCTTGAGAAAACAAAAAAACAAAACAGAAATAGGAGAACTCTGTAAAGTTCTTTTATTCTCCAGTCAAATACTCCGTGGATCTGGGAGGCCTGGGGACTGTTTGCCTTTGTAGTAGGGTGTCTGAAATTGGAACTTGCATTGAGCATGCCTCATGTCTGGGAAGCTCTTGCATTGGTGCAACCCAGCACCACATGAAACTGGGCATGGTGGTGCACACCTGCATCCCCAGCATTCAGATGGCCAAGATGGGGATCACTGTGAGTTCCAGGCCAGCCACGGGTACACAGTGAGACTGTCAAAAATAAAAAGGAAATTAAATGTATGACTGTTTAAAGCAACCTCATTGTGAAGAATCACTGTAACCTAGGAGAGAAACATTCCAGCCTTTCTCTGCATGGTCTTGGCTGTCCTGAAACTCACTCTGTAGAACAGGCTGGCCTTGAACTCGGAGATCCACCAGCCTCTGCCTCCCGAGTGCTGGGATTAAAGGCGTGTGTGTGCCTGGCTGTCTTTGTTTAGAGACAAGGTGCCAATAGTCCTAGAATCTGGAACTCCCTATTGTGGGAAGCCAGCTCCCACTTTTTCCAAGGCACTCTTGAGGAGAGAGGGATAAGAAATATTAGATAGAAATGATAGGCCTAGCCGACAAGACAGAGACACAGGATAGCTTCAGGAGGACCTGGGTCAATACCCAAGGCCCAGAACTTTATTCAAAAGGGCTTTTTATAACAATGCCAAGGGGGCGAGGCAAAAGACCTCCCCCTTGCTAGATACAGCCTAGTGTAGACCCTTCCAATCACCTGGTAACCATGCCCGTGGTCCAGTCATCCCCTATGGAGCCCTGCTGGGTAAAGCAAGCTCAGATTCTCTGACCCTGAGCAATTTGGGCCTCCACACTCTATGTAGTTGAGTCAGGCCCTGGACCCCTGATCACCTTTCCACTGCCCCAGCAGTGCAGGCATGTACCACCACACTGGCCAGATGCTGGTTGTAGTCCCAGCTGGCCTCTGATGCTTACAGCAGTCCTCCTTCCACCTCTGGGTTGGAATTACACTTGTGTAGATCTTTTCAGGTTCATCAGTCCCATAGGTTTCTGGGCCAAGCAGATCTGCTAGACTGAACTCTATTAACAAGAGTGGTGTTTCCCACCAGCACTAGAGAGGCAGAGGCAGGCAGACATCTGGGTTCAAGGCCAGCCTGGTCTATAGAGCGAGTTCCAGGACAACCAGGTATACATAGAGAAACCCAAATGGTGTTTCCTGGGCTAGGGATTTAGTTTCCTGGTAAAATACTTGCCTGATAAGTCCAGGCCCTGGGTTTGGTCCCTAGCACTGGGCAGGCAGAGGAACGAAGGTAGCATTTCTTGCTTGCTTGCCTGCCTTTTTTGTTTTCATTTTTGTTTTTGTTTCTTGAGACAGGTTTCTCTGTGTAACAGCCCTGGCTGACCTGGAACTCGTTCTGTAGAGCAGACTAGGCTTGAACTCACCGAGATAACATCTCCCAAGAGCTGGGATTAAAGGCATGAGACTTAGTTTCTTAGCAGTGTGTGTAACACAGACACCTACATTATCATGTGTCTCGGGATGTGTGTTGAGTGAAAACCCAGCAGTGGATGTGAGGCGGTGGGCATGAGCTGTGATGGGTAGATACAATGCTTTTTCTTTCCATTCTTTGTAGGATCTGCTAACTGAGGCAAAGCAAAGACTCAGCAAGGTGGTAAAAGACACAACCAGATACCAGGTGCTGCTGGATGGGCTGGTCCTCCAGGTATGCTTCTATGGCCGTGCACAGCTGCGGTCCTGAGAGCCTTGAACATCTGTCTGTCGGGCCAGCTCGGTTTTCCCACCTCGACTTCTTTTTCCTTCCTCTTTTCTGTCTGTGTGCTACACAAGGTGGTGACATCTGTCTGTCTGTCTGAGACTATTTCCTATGATGTTCCAAGTCCTTTCTAACTCTTGTCAAATCCACCTGTTGCTTGCAACTGTACACATCTGTACTTTGATTTGACCTTTGAAATACCTGGCTTTAAATCTAGCTTGGTGCTAAAGGCAGACTACTTGCATAGCTTGTGGATAACCCTCAGGTTTAGTGCCTAGTACTGCAACAAAAAAAAAAGTTCAAACAAACAACATTGTTTGCTTCTGGGTTGTGAATCTTTTATTTTACTCATGTTCATGCAGAGTATTTGTTCTCAGTCTGGTTAATAGGACTCCGTAGGAATTTGGATGACCATTGAAAGTCTCTGGTTCCAGCCTGTGTCTAGTGTTAATCCAAGTCCAAGGTGTGCTCTCTGTTCTCGTACTGCATGTTGTCTTTGCAGAGCTTCCTGGGTGACTCTGGGAAGAACTCCAAGACACTGTTCTGTTGTGTTTCCCACTGTCGACTCTGATTGCTTTTTACAGGGCTTGTACCAGCTGTTGGAGCCTCGGATGATTGTGCGCTGCAGGAAACAGGATTTCCCTTTGGTGAAGGTACAGAACTTAGATTAGTTGTTGAAAACGGGGTGAGGTGTCACAGATGTTACCACTGAGGGTAGTCAAGGCAGGAACCTGGAGGCAGGAACTGATTCGGAGGCTGTGGAGGGGTGCTGCTTACTGGCTTGCTCACCCTGCTTTGTTTGTTTGTTTGTTTTGAAATGGGGTCTCATTATGTATCTATTCCTGGATGACCTGGAATTTACGATGTAGAACAAGCTGGCCTTTAACTCATAGATTCTCGTACCTCTGCCTCCCTCTGGATTTGAAGGCATGTCCCCACACCCTGCTTTCTTAGAGCACCAGGACCAGCAGCCCATGGGTGTCACCACTCACACTGGGCTGGGTCCTTCCCCATCTACCACTGATTTAGAAAATGCCCTACAGACTTACTGCAGGCCAGTCTTAGGGAGACATTTTCCCAGTTGAGAATCCCTCTTTCCAAGTGACTCTAGCTTGTGTCAAGTTGAGGTAAAACTAGCCAAGACAGTGAGTGATTCTCCAGCATCTAAAACAGACTACACACAGGCAAGATGGCTCAGTAGGTAAAGCCACATGGAAGACCAGGGCTGACCCCTGCGAGGTGTCTGACCTCTGTGCACACACAAATACTGTAAAAAGAAATAGTTTAAGGTGCTCCACATTGTGCTTATCCATTCTCTGTGACAGTCACTTATTCTGTCTTGGTTTCTGGCTGGCTTGGAACTTGTTATGTAGACCAGGCCAGCCTTGAATTCACAGAGAGCTTCCAAGTGCTGGGACTAAAGGTGTGTCACCAAGCCTGGCCCTCCGATTTTACTTAGATTTTTGAAAGCGGAAGTTTGCTTTTGTTGCTGTTCCGGTAGAACAGCCACAGTTGAGAAGTCGCTGTGTGCCCGGGCACTGCTTACCCTTGAGACTTACAAACAAAGGTCTCTGGAGTGGCTGCAGTGACCAGATGCCTAACTAAGTTCAGTCTGTTGGAGTTCTATTTTCCCCAAGACTGAGTTTCTCTGTATAACAGTCCTGGCTGTCCTGGAACTCACTTTGTAGATCAGGCTGGCCTCGAACTCACAGAGATCCACCTTCCTCTGCCTCCCAAGTGCTGGGATTAAAGGCATGCACCACCCCCAACCCCAGCTTAGTCTGTTGGATTTTTTAGGAAGGGCCATACAGTTTCCTAGATCTCACCCCCACCTCATCCTCCAGGATTTTTCAAGACAGGGTTTCTCTCTGTAGACCAGGCGGCCTTGAACTCACAGAGATCCGCCTGCCTCTGCCTTGTGTTTTACATTTCTACCACAAGTGCATAAAGGTTCTTGTATCTATCTCCTCATACCCGACAGTACTTTCTTTAATTAAAAAATTGTATGTGTGTGGGTCTTCTGCCTGCCTGTATGTTTGTGCACTACCTGTGTATCTGGTGCTCTCCTAGGCCAGAAGAGGGTGGTGGGCCCCTGGCACTGGAGTCACAGATGGTTGTGAGCTGCCTTGTGGGTGCTGGAATCAAATCTCAGCCCTCTGGAAGAGCAGACTCTGTTCTTAACCCCAACCAGCTTTCCAGCCCAGTACTCTGTAGTAGCTGCTCTAAGGGGTGTGGATTGCACCTCTTTAGTAAGTGGTGAGTCCTCACTTCTGCAGGTCAGGCCAGCAGCCCAGCCCCACCACGCTCCTGACTCCACATGATCTGCTGCCCCACCCCTCACACCTGAGCCTTGTGGCGCTGTCCCTGGTGTGTTCATTCAGTCGCCAGACCCATGGTCTTTACAGATGAGCCCTTCTCTCCCTCCCTCCCCCCTCCCTCCCGTGTGCAGGCTCAGGAATGCACCTTACAACATGTGATCCGTGTGCAGGCTCAGGAATGCACCTTACAACATGTGATCCATGTGCAGGCTCAGGAATGCACCTTACAACATGTGATCCGTGTGCAGGCTCAGGAATGCACCTTACAACATGTGATCAGCAGAAAGTTTGCTTTTACTTGAAAATCTTTCATTGTTTTCTGTTTGGTTTTTCCCCCCAGGCCGCAGTACAAAAAGCAATTCCTATGTATAAAATTGCCACCAAAAAAGATGTTGATGTCCAAATTGACCAGGAGGCCTACCTGCCTGAGGAAATGTAAGGAGACTTCCTGTTGTTGAATGTGCTGCGTGCTGTGGGAATGGCTGTGGTGCCGGCCTTTAGAAAGTGCTTGGGGGGGTGGGGGGTGGGGGGTGGCTCAGTGGTGGAACCCATACCTGCTTTACTCCTCAACCCTAAATAAGAAAGTGTTTTCTGGGGGAGGTCTTTGCTGCAGGACAGAGGTGTGGCTGTGTCCCCAGGTGCCCGTGGCTGTTTCCTGCCAGGGCTCCCGTTCTCCCTGGTTACCGGAAGCTCGTCTGTGGTCAGTGGTGTGACTTCCACTGCCCAGAGCTGGGTGAGGTTTCTGTGGGAAGTGTGGGGACCAGCCTAGGGAATCGAGAGTCCGTGCCCAGAGCAGGTGCCCACAGCTGCCTTCCGGTCAAGTAGCTACAGGGTTTCTTCCTACTGAGGGAGTGACAGTGCAGTTGGGGTACACGTTAGAAACTCCCCGTTTGGGCCGTGGTGTCTGTCTGATGTCACCTTGCCAACACTGCCTGACCTGGGGCAGAATCTTGGGACACATTTTGAACTGAATGGCAAGAATAGGAGGCTTAGGAATGTAAAATCAGATTGGGGCTTTGGGGTTTTGTTTCATTTCTTGCTCCTCCAGGTGGCACCCAGGAGGTCATGAACATCGCCATGATTCGGATGTGGGTTTCCTTCCCCACTCTGCCGAGTGCTGTCCCAGCAGTGTTGGACCCTTGCTTAATCTCACTGAGCCTTGACTTCTTTTTGTTTTGGTTTTTCTGGTGGTGACTGGATGAGACGGGATTTTACTCTGTAGACCAAGTTGGTCTTGTTTCCAGCAATCTAAAATCAGGAGGCTGGGGGCTGGGGTTACGGGCCCGGCTCACCGTACCCAGCTGACGCCATTGATTTGAAGTACAGCTCTTCGGACATTCAAATGAGCTCGTGTCTAGGCAGCACCCCCTGGTGCCGGTGCTGGGGAACCGGGGAACCGGAGCAGACAGTGGAAAGGACACGAGGCTCAGAGGCTGACGCCGCCGGAGCCCTTGTCGTCCTGTGTATTTAGAATTTCAGAGATCAGAATAGTAACGGTCGGGCTGGGGCGTGACCCAGGAGTAGAGGGTCTGCTTCGTGGATGTGAAAGTACCTGTGTACAGTACCATTATATACACAGTATAGTACTATGCCATTGTGTAGTGTCTTCAGATCTGAGACACCACTGCCATAGCCAGGTATACCAATAGTTCTGAATAAACTCACAGGGAAAGCTGGTGTGGTAGCGCTTGACAGTAATTGAAGACTTGGGATGCTGAAGCAGTAGATTGTCAAGAGTTCATGACCAGCCTGAGATTTTTTGTTTTAGTTTTTGGTTTTTTTGTTTTGGTTTTGTTTTTCAAGACAGGGTTTCTCTGTAGCTTTGGAGCCTGTCCTGGACTAGCTCTGTAGACCAGGCTGGCCTCAAACTCACAGAGATCCACCTGCCTCTGCCTCTCAAGTGCTGGGATTAAAGGCGTGCGCCACCACTGCCCGGCTTTTTTTTTTTTTTTTAATGCAGCCAGAGCCGGGCATTGGTGACAATGTGCCTTTAATCCCAGCACTTAGGGGCAGAGGCAGACGGATCTCTTGAGTACAAGGCCTGTCTGATCTACAAAGCGAGTTCCCTGTCAGCCAGGGTTACACAGAGAAACCTTGCCTCAGAAAAAAACAAAAGCTGTAGGCTTAGCCAAGCATGGTGGCTCACACTCAGGATGCTGAGGTGGGATAGTTAGTTTATTGTTTCTCAGCCTTTTGGCTCAGATCAAGGGT